CCCCTCAGGGTACAAGCAGAGCTCCCTGAAGCTTAGTTAGCCCTCACCCACCAGCTGCAAGGGCGAGGACCCTGCCTTCCTGATCGCTCATCGCCCCGGGCCTGGCCTGCGGTCTAACCCGGAGAAGCTGCCCGCTGTTCCGTGCCCACCAATGCACCTGCCCGTGAACATGAGGCCGCGGGGGGGCCGCTGGGCAGAGTGCGGAGTGAAGGGGTGCACTGGGCACTCAGCGCAGCCCTAGGGAGGCAGGGCCGCCCCAGCCTGCTCTCCTGTCCAGGAAGGCCGTCCGGAAGCAGAAACCCCAAGAAAACGGCTGGCTGCTCAGGGTGGCCTTCAATGTCTCTCCTAGCCTGACAGTCGCTTCCCACCAACCCTGCCCTGTGGTCTCTGGCGCGCCCTCGCATCTCCTTTCTGTAAAATGCAGATCGTGGCGTCTTCCCTCTCCCCTGAGGATCGTGAGCCAATGCGTGTGAAGCCACCAAATCCCAATTTGTATTAACGTGCTGGAAGCAAGGGGGTCAGAGCAGCTTTCTCCTCTGGTGGAGACAAAACAATGATTTTCTTTCTTTTTTTTCCATACAGTATCTCACTCTGTTGCCCAGGCTGGAGTGCAGTGGTGTGATCTTGACTCACTACAACCTCTGCCTGCCCGGTTCAAGCGATTCTCCTGCCTCAGCCTCCCAAGTAGCTGGGATTGCAGGCACAAGCTACCACGCCTGGCTAATTTTTTGTATTTTTAGTAGAGATGGGGTTTCACCATGCTGGCGGGGCTGGTCTCGAACTCCTGACCTCGAGATCTGCCCGCTTTAGCCTCCCAAAGTGCTGGGATTACAGGCATGAACCACCGCACCCAGCCCCAACAATGATTTTCTTAAGGACACACAGTTTGATGCTGGAGGCTTGAGAGTGGCTACAGTTGGGGCACTGGAGAGGTGGCCTCTGGAAAAGGGGTCTAAGTTACATAGTGACTGATGCACTGCAGAATGCCTGCTAGATTGTACCTTTGCTGAAGGCAGCGCCAGTTACCTGTTACACTGTTCACTATAGAATTGCCAGCACCAAGCATAGCATGGACTGTTAGCAGCAGCACAGTAAACATCTGATGAAGGAAGGAGGGAATTAAAGGAAGAATAAAGGAAGGAAAGGATAAAGAAAAAAGGAAGAAGGGAGGGAGAGAAGGAGAGATGGAAGGAAGGATGGATGAAAGGAAGGAGGGAAAGGAAGGATGAAAGAAAGCAAAGAGGGAGGAAAGGAAGGAAGGAGGGAGGAAAGGAGGGAAAGGATGAAGAAAGGGAGGGAAAAGGAAAGAAAGGAAGACAGGAAGGAGGCTGCTTAGGAGTAAAATGCCCATAGGGACGATGCAACCAGGCCAAGAGCCAATAGAAGGTGCAGAATGTCAAGCTGCCGAGGTGGATCATGGAAGGCGAGAATGAGGGAATGTCCACCCAGTCCTCAACGACAAATCATCATCTTGTTTTATTTTGCTTTTTTGGTCTTAATTTTTAGTCCACGATGCCTGAATGCTGGTGTTCTGTGCAGATCTTTGTGTTTGGGTAGAGAGAAGGAGAAAGAACACTGGGACTGGCCCACCATGGCCCTGCCCTTACACACTACAGGAGGGTGATTATATGAAAAGGATGACGAGGACGTGCGTGTAAAACATTTCAACACACAAGGCCAGGTGCAGCAGCTCACACCTGTAATCCCAGCACTCTGGGAGGCTGAGGCAGGAGGATCGCTTGAGTCTAGGAATTTCAGACCAGCCTGGGCAACATGATATAAACCTGTCTCATATAGTTTGCCATTTGAATCTACTACCTACAAATATGACTATAAAAACAAGCAAACAAGAGCCTCTCAGGCTCAGGAAGGAGAGCCTGAGAGGAAGGGAAGAGGAAAGAAAAGCCTTCTTTCCCATCTCTGAAGCCTTTGACTGAGGCCAGTGGGTAAATACTGATGCTGAGGAGGGGAGGAGAGAAAGACAGAGAGAGACAGAGACAGAGAGAGACAGGCAGAGACAGAGACCCCTGAAAGGCTGGTCTGCTTTGGAAATCCTCATGGTTTGCCTAGAGGAGCAAGCAACGTGGGCCAAGCTAAGAGCCTTGAGAGCTTTTAACACACCAATTAGGTAGTAGGCCAGGCAGGAAAAAACACTGAGAAATGTCCAGTACGGGCCGGGCGTCGTGGCTCATGCCTGTAATCCCCACACTTTGGGAGATTGGAGAGGGGGAGAATCACTTGAGGCCAGGAGTTGATGACCAGCCTGTGCAACATAGTGAGACCCCATGTCTCCCAAAAAGTAAAAAAAAAAAAAATTAGCCAGGTGTAGTGGCGTAGCTACTTGGGAGGGTGAGGCAGGACGAGTACTTGAGCCTGGGAGGTTGAGGCTGAAGTGAGCCATGATTGCATCACTGCACTCCAACCTGGTCAATAGAGGGAGACTCCATCTCAAAAAGAAAAATATATTCAGTGTGGCCAAGATATTTTAGGGTGATGAGAAGGAGCAGGGAGCCTCCTGGCCAAACTTAGTCTGCGATCCTGTCCTCAGTGTCTGAGACTACTAAGTCCTCAACAAGAAACAAAGATTAAGGGTCCAAATAATGAAAAACAAACCATGAAGAACTAACCACCACTGTGAATAAACTTTAAAGGCGTTGTGCTAAGTGAAATGGGCTAGTCGCAAAAGGACGACTACGACTACGCCATGATTCCACGTATACGAGCTACTACAAATAGTCAAATTCAGAAACAGAGGATAGAACGGTGGCCACCAGTGGCTGGCTGGGCAGGCTGGGGAGTTAGTGCTTAATGGGGACAGAATTTCAGTTGGGAAAGAAATAAAATATCTGGAGATGAATGGTGGTGATGGTGGCACAAAAATGTGAGTGCACTCAATGTCACAGAACTGTTCACTTGAGCATTTAAAAATTGTTACTTTAGAGACAGGCTCTTGCTCTGCTGCCCAGGCTGGAGGGCAGCAGTATGATCATAGTTCACTATATCCTTGAACTCCTAGGCTCAAGTGATCCTCCTGCCTTGGCCTCCCAAGTAGCTGGGACTACAGATACGTGCCACCATGCCCAGCTAATTAAAAAAACCTTTATTTGGCCACGCATGGTGCCTCATGCCTGTAATCTCAGCACTTTGGGAGGCCAAGTGGGTAGATTACCTGAGGTTGGGAGTTTGAGACCAGCCTGACCAACATGGAGAAACCCTGTCTCTACTAAAAATACAAAATTAGCCAGGTGTGGTGGTGTGTGCCTGTAATCGCAGCTACTTGGGAGGCTGAGGCAGGAGAATCGCTTGAACCTGGGAGGAGGTTGTGAGCCGAGATCATGCCATTGTGCTCCAGCCTGGGCAACAAGAGTGAAACTTTGTCTCAAAAAACCCCAAAAAATATAAAAAACATTTTTTTTCTTTTTTTAGAGATGTTGACCAGGCTGGTCTCAAACTTCTGGCCTCAAATGATCCTTCCACCTCAGCCTTCCAAAGCAATGAGATTACAGGCTTTAGCCATTGTGCCCGGGTCTACTTAAAAATTGTTGAAATAGATATGTTATGTTATATATATTCTACCACAATTTTAAAAATAAGAGTTACCCACCCAGTTGACGGACAGTCCTGACATGCTTAAAACCTTTCACTAGACATTTAACCAGTCTTACTACCTCCTCCTGACCTTCAACTAAACACTCCTTTATCTTTTTCCTGTAAATTTTCTTCCAAGAGTGTGAAATACAATTTTTTTTTTTTTTTGAGACGGAGTTTCGCTCTCGTTACCCAGGCTGGAGTGCAATGGCGCGATCTTGGCTCACCACAACCTCCGCCTCCTGGGCTCAGGCAATTCTCCTGCCTCAGCCTCCTGAGTAGCTGGGATTACAGGCACACGCCACCGTGCCCAGCTCATTTTTTGTATTTTTAGTAGAGACGGGGTTTCACCATGTTGACCAGGATGGTCTCGATATCTTGATCTCGTGATCCACCCGCCTCGGCCTCCCAAAGTGCTGGGATTACAGGCTTGAGCCACCGCGCCCGGCCGTGAAATACAATTTTGACACACACTTACATGTTTTAAAAACACCTAATAACAGAACTAAACTAAAAACAACAGACAGCTTGTATGCGCTGGAGGCAGTAAATCTCAGCTTTCCTGCACACAAAGTGGAAATGTCCAGTAAACCCACTGCTTTTCCACACTGGCCAAGGCAGTAAAGCCACACTGCAGACACCCACTCGACCCTTCAACCTCCAAACAGACACACTGCTTTTTAACAAAACAAAAACCAATGCAAAACAACCCAACGACTTAAAAACCATGAAGGAAACCTTTACTCAATCCAAGCTACCCCTTGCTACAGTTCAGGCAGATGGCATTTCACTGCTTTTTGAGCTTTAAACCAGTACCCTTGCTGACTTTCTTTCCAAAGCCAGCGTCATAATATGTGAGTGTGAGCATATCTCAAGTGCTGGGCTTCAGGGAGTGCCCTGGTCTTTGGTCTGTGAAAAGAACTAGGGCAGAGGGAATCTGGTATCTCGAGCAGATGACGCTGCTGCCCTACAGGAGCCAGTGCTGCTTTTGTAACTGTAGCGATGGCCCAATCTCTGCTTGCCCCAACCCTGGTCAGCCCTCTTTATTTTAGTCTTGCCTTTGAAATAAGTCTGGGTGAGAGCCAAGATGTCCTGTGGCCAAGTTATGCTAAGCCACTTCTACCAATGAAATGATTCTTCCAGCCTCAGCCAGCAGAGACTGTCCTCTGGATCGCGTGGTGCCACGAGATCAGCACCTGGGGCCCCACGGCCTGGAATTGGTTTCAGACTCAGATAGAAGGAGAAATGGAAACTCCTGACATTGATTGGAAAGCCTAGATATAATATTCCTAACCTGGCTTGATCCTTGTCTAAAAAGTCCTAGTAGCTTATTTGACTGGCAAACGGAGCTCTGGTTTAGGGAGGAGGAATGGGGAGAAGTAGACTGTTACAATAATAGAGCACAATTTGAATGCTTTACACATGCTGTTTTTAATCACCCTCAAATAAATGCTACTAAGTTGTCAGAAACATCATGAGCTGTTGCTGGGATACAGCCGGAAGAGCCTTTCACAGCCGGAAGAGCCCCTCAACGCATCTTGTTTTTTTCTGGTGAAAAAATAAGAGGACTCATTTTAGTTAGGCTCATTCACAAAAACCAGGCGGACTCATTCTGGAGTCATATGGCCTCCAAAAGCTCAGGCCAGAAGCGCACTGTCCTCCTGCCACACTCTAATCTCTGGAAGAATTTGGAGAGGTGAGTGCTATTACTTTCTCAGGCTGAGAATTTGAGTGGGGAGCAGGGAAGGCTCCCGAGGGAAAGAGAATAAACCAGGAGGAAAGGGGAGCTCAGCCTTTGGTTTTCCTTGGAAGCCTTGCTTGGAGGCCAAAGGTTCTCAGCCTGTTCTCCCTCCTCCTGCCTGGGTGCTCATTAGCAGAGTGCTGGCCTCACTTCCACTCTGGGCAACTCCACACTGCCCTGGGGGCGTCCTCTCTCCTCCACTCACAGCTCATTTGAAAAGGCTTTACTCACCAACTTTATTGCTTCAACTAAATTATACCTTTTTATCAGAGGAAGTCCACATGTGCTCCCAGATGGCATCTGGCCTGGTGTTTTGAGTCACGAAGTCTACGGAGGCCTCCGCACCTTGACGCCTGGTGAAAGGTTGAGACGGTGCCCTCACTTGTGATTAGACCTTTGTAAATGCAGTGCTCATTTTACTCTGTGGTTCTGAACAAGCAGGAATGACTGAATCCGGAAGCTGAAGTGGCGTAGCTTTTCCCTGAGATTCAGATGTGTTTACTTTTTCACATTAAAAATAAGAAAATAAAACTTTATCAATACAGCTTCACAGACATCATTGCTCCCGCCATTCCTTTTTCTAGCTTTTAAGGCTGGACATATGCCAAGTAAGCTCCACATCGTCACAGGGTCCTTGTCCAGGTCCACAACAGGGATCTGAAGCACATCAGAAATTTCAGCCTAAGCCCCGCTGCTGTGGCCCAGGTGCCCGGGGCCTGGCATTCGCTGACAGCTTCACTCACATCGACTTCACTGGGTTGGGCTTTTACTTGGCTCCCCAGGCCTCTAGTTTCTTATGATGACTAGAGCCTGTAGTACCCATGTCCAGCATCGGTTCCTTTAGGCATTCTCTACAATGTAATGTGATCCCGGTGAGGCTGCAAAGCTAGCGCCATCTCCTGCCCAGCCCTCAGATGACCAGGCGCGGACATGCGGCCTAGGCTGGCCAATCAGAGGACTTCATCCTCCTTGCCTGTGGTGATTGGTATGGTGAAAGTATAGACCACCGTCAGCTCAATTGGAGTCCTTCTTAGAGTTTTTTTTTTCTTAAATAAAGTTACCTGGAAGGATGGTTTTTGTCCAGCACGCCTGCTAAACTTGGAGAAAGTAAAACAGAGACAACTACTAGCCCTCTGGCCCTTGCCAACAGACACCGCACGCAGTACGGACCAAGCGAGGGCAAGCAAAGTTCAGATATAGTAGGGTGGATTGGATTACTCTCAGCTCAGCACGCCTTCCCTGAAAATGTGTTTGTTTAATTTCCACACCTTTTGCCATGTGACCTTGCAGTGCTTCCCAAAAAAGTAAATGGAATTCAAATTCCTGCTCATTGACTTTAGGCTTGGGGGCATGCCTTGCTTTGACCAGTAGGCTGTGGATGGACATGTCCAGCTGAGGCTTTAAGACCTTCCACCAACCGTTTTGAACCTTTTCCCCTCTGCCATGAAAGAACATGTCCCAGTTAATCCTTCTGCCTTGGTCACGGGATGGAGACATGGAGCTCATTAGCAGTCTGCAGGCCTCGCTTCTGTAGCCAACCTGAAGTCAGGAGTCCAACTGAGCCCATTCAAGCCCAGCCAATGAGCTTATTAGCTTAATCACAGCCAACCTGTGGACCTGTGAGCATGAAAGAAATGCTTGTTATTGTAAGCCATCGAGATTTTGAGGTTACTTGTTACACAGCATTGAGAGGCTGAGGCTACTTGTCATCACATAGCATGATTATAGCATACCGGACTGTCATAGATGGCAAGTGAAAGAGTTCCAGTTTCATCATTTAAAGCCCTGAATCTTAGCCATTGCTGGTGGCTCACACCTTTAAACCCAGCACTTTGGGAGGCTGAGGTGAGAGGATCACTCGAGGTCAGGATTTTGAGACCAACTTGGGCAACATGGTGAAACCCTGTCTCTACTGAAAATACAAAAACTAGCCGGGCACTTGTGATGCCACCTACTTGGGAGGCTGAGGCACAAGAATCGCTTGAACCTGGGAAGTGGAGATTGCAGTGTGTCGAGATTATGCCACTGCACTCCAGCCTGGGCAACAGAGGAACAAAAAAAACAAAAAACAATAACAAAAACAAAAAACTAACAAGCCTTCAGTCTCATTGCATCAGAAGCCAAAGTCACCCAATTATTTCTATTGTTGGAACCAAACAAGTCTTGACCAAAGCAGGAAGCCTTTCTAAGCTCCTAGGATGCAGTTGTCGTACCTTGACTAGCTCTCACCCACTTCCTCCCACAGAATAGTAGCTCTGCATACACCCTGAGATCCTGCCGTCAATGGGCAGGCCACCAGCAATGACACTGTTGCCACACCCTGACTCTTTTTGTGTTTTTGAGACAGAGTCTTGCTCTGTTGCCCAGGCTGGAGTACAGTGGTGTGTTTTTCAGCTCACTGCAACCTCTGCTGTCTGGGTTCAAGCGATTCTCCTACCTCAGCCTCCTGAGTAGTTAGGACCACAGGTATGTGCCACCACAGCCAGCTAATTTTTGTATTTTCAGTAGAGACGAGGGTTTCACCATGTTGGTCAGGCTGGTCTCAAACTCCCAACTCCAGGTGATCTGCCTGCCTTGGCCTCCCAAAGTGCTAGGATTACAAGTGTGACCCATCACACCCAGCCCCCACACCCTGACTTTTAATCTTACCTGAAACCCAACACTCTTAACGCAACTGCTGTATCCCAGCTGCCAAACAGGCTACCTGACCCTTGTCCTCAGGCCTGACAGCTGCCCTAATCCCTGGATGCTGACCTGTTTCTCCAGCTCCTTTGGTCTACTTAGTATCTGGCTACAGCTCTGCCCACAGAGCCACAGATCTCAAAAAGAATCAATTCCTACTGTGGCAGTGCATTTATTTACTTGCCGTTTACTGTAACGTTAGTAATTTACATTACTGTTAGTACAGTAAACGGCAAGTGAATCAATATGAGAAAAAAAGTCTCTGTCATTCACCACATTGTCTCTGGTTTTAGAACGTTCCTCTCTAACTTACCCTGACTTATCTTCGGGAGTTAAACTCTTGAGGACGTGCCATATGAAAATGTGGATTGTCAGAATCTAGAAATGGGAGAATGGAGAGGAAAACTGGCAGGTGTCCATTCATGGGGTGGGTCCATAACTCCAACAAAGCACACATCTTAGCCAGATCATTTATATAAAATAGGCGTCTCTGCCGGACGTGGTGGCTCACGCCTGTAATCCCAGCACTTTGGGAGGCTGAGGTGGGTGGATCATGAGGTCAAGAGATCGAGACCATGGTGAAATCTCGTCTCTACTAAAAAATACAAAAATTAGCTGGGCATGGTGGCAAACGCCTGTGGTCCCAGCTACTCTGGAGGCTGAGGCAGGAGAGTTGCCTGAACCCAGGAAGTGGAGGTTGCAGTGAGCCGAGATCATACCACTGCACTCCAGCCTGGAGCCTGGCAACAGACCGAGACTCTGTCTCAAAAAAGAGAAAAAAAAAAAAAAAAAAGAATAGGTGTCTTTAGGTATAATTAAATAAAAAATTAAATTAAAAAATTTAAATAAATAAAATAAAATAAAAATTAATTAAATAAAAAAATTTAATTTTTTTTTGAGATGGAGTTTTGCTCTTGTCATCCAGGCTGGAGTGCAATGGCGAGATCTTGGCTCACTGCAACTTCTGCCTCCCAGGTTCAAGGTATTCTCCTGCCTCAGCCTCCCGAGTAGTAGCTGGGATTACAGGCGCCTGTCACCACGTCCAGCTAATTTTTGTATTTTTAGTAGAGACAGGGTTTCACCATGTTTGCCAGGCTGATCTCAAACTCTTGACCTCAGGTGATTCGCCTGCCTTGGCCTCCCAAAATGCTGGGATTACAGGCGTGAGCCACTGCACCCAGCCGGGCCAAAATCTGAGATTGCTCTGCAGACTCCTTAATTGTCCTTAAGTAAATATATATGTTAATATAGAAACACACACTTATATAATACATATTAAATATAAAAATATTGTAAATATGTGCACATATATATATTTTTATAATTTTAGGAAATTTATAAGATATTTTAAAAATGTAAGCACAAATAACATAGAAAGCATAAATAATATGACAAACACTCCTATTCTCACAATCCAGAATTTATAATTGTTATACTCTTGTCCAGTGTACAACTTTTTCCCCATAAATAAATAAAACATTATAATATAGCTAAACAAACTCTTTAACCACCACTCGTAAGGTTATTTCCTCTCCCTTTCCATCCCCAGAGCAGATACCTTCTTCTTTTCAATTCAAATAAATGTCATTTTATTGTTCATGTTGTATTGCAACTTGCTTTTAGCCCATATGTTTTTGAGGTCTATACTCATAGGTCTACATAGAACTGGTTTATTTGGGGCTGGGCACGGTGGCTCACGCCTGTAATCCTAGCACTTTGGGAGGCCGAGGTGGGTGGATCACATGAGGTCAGGAGTTCAAGACCAGCCTGGCCATCATGGTGAAACCCCATCTTTAAAAAAAAAAAAAAAATTAAATAAAAAAAGAAAAAAAAAAAGAACTGCTTTATTCTTCTTAAGGGCACACAGTATTACAATGTATATGCATTCCATCCTTTGTATATCCATTCCTATACGGATGCACATTTAGGTTGTTTCCATTTTCCTTGCTATTACAAAGAATGTTCCATGAACATTGTTGTGTATGTTTTCTGTTGCATTGTGCAAGAGCAGATCATGTTAATGGGCACTCTTGCCTCCTCCTGAATGGTAAAAGAAACTCCGTCGCCCAGGCTGGAATGCAATGGCATGATCTCGGCTCATAGCAACCTCCACCTCCCAGGTTCAAGCAATTCTCCTGCCTCAAACGCCAGAGTAGCTGGAATTATAGGCGTGTGCCACCATGCCCAGCTAATTTTTGTATTTTTAGTAGATACGGGGTTTCACCATGTTGATCAGCCTGGTGTCAAACTCTTGACCTTGTGATCCACCCACCTTGGCCTCCCAAAGTGTTGGGATTACAGGTGTAATCCCAACACCTGGCCTACATGTTTATTTTTATGTCAGTCCCAAATTGTCTTCGTTAGTGTAGCTTTAAAGTAAATTTTGAGGCCAGGCGCAATGGCTCACGCCTGTAATCCCAGCACTTTGGGAGGCCGAGGTGGGGGGATCATGAGGTCAGGAGTTCGAGACCATCCATGATCAATATGATGAAATTACATCTCTATTAAAAAATAAATAAATAAATAAAAGTAAAATTTGAAATTGGTAAGTGTGAGCCCTCTAACTCTGATCTTCTTTTTCAAGAGTGTTTAGGCTATTCTAGGTTCTTGCTTTTCCACATGAGTTTTAGGATCACTTTGTCTATTGCTACAAAAAAAAATGTAGTTGGAATTCATGGATTTTTAATTCACACAAACTCATTACAATGTCCTCTGTGAGGACTGGCACATTGTTATATCTCCAACACCCAGCACAGGCCTGACCGAGAGTCAGCTCTTAATATTTAATGAATAAATGGGGCGGGGGAGAAGCATAGTTTAGAGAACAGCAGTAAAATGTACCCAATGGAACATTACCATACCACAGAAGCCACCTGCATGCCACTCCATGATGAACTCCTCCATCGTGTCTTTGTTTTTTGAGACAGAGGCTTGCTCTGCTACCCATGCTGGCATGTAGTGGTGTGGTCTTGGCTCACTGCAACCTCCGCTTTCTAGGTTCAAGCAAATCTCCCACCTCAGCCTCCTGAGTAGCTGGGACTACAGGCGCAAACCAGCACACCTGGCTAATTTTTGTATTTTTAGTAGAATCAGGGTTTTGCCATGTTGTACGGGCTGGTCTCAAACTCCTGACCTCAGGGGATCCACCTGCCTTGGCCTCCCAAGTGCTGGGATTACAGGCATGAGCCACCGCACCTGGCCTCCCTCCATCATTTCTTTGCTTAAAAAAAAAAAAAACCAACCGTGTGGCTGGGCAGTGGCTCATGCCTGTAATCCCAGCACTTTGAGAGGCCAAGGTAGGTGAATCACCTGAGGTCAGGAGTTCCAGAGCAACCTGACCAAAATGGAGAAAACCTATCTCTACTAAAAATACAAAACTCGCTGGGTGTGGTGGTGCCTGCCTGTAACCCTAGCTACTTGGGAGGCTGAGGCAGGGAAATCGCTTGGAACTATGAGGCAGAGGTTGCGATGAGCCAAGATTGTGCCATTGTACTCCAGCTGAGGCAATGAGCAAAACTCCATCTCTAAAAAAAAAAGCCCAAAAATACAAAACAACCCAACTGTGTATGTATCCCTAAACGATACATTGGTTTTGCCAATTTTTAAAAATTTTTGTGTAAATGAAACAATACTGTATGCATTCTTCTGTGACTTATTTCAAAAAACATTGTTTTGAGATTCATGCATGTGAATATATGTAGCTTTTGTTTAGTCATTAATTTTCACTGCTTAGTATTCTATTATATAAATACATAGCACCAGCAGGGCGGGGTGGCTCACATCTATACTCCCAGCACTTTGGGAGGCCAATGCAGGTGGATCACCTAAGTTCAGGAGTTCAAGACCAGCCTGGCCAACATGGTAAAACCCTGTCTCTACTAAAAACACAAAAGTCAGCCAAGTGTGGTGGTATGTGTCTGTAAGCCCAGTTACTT